GGGCATGTCCCACCGGGAGGAGGCCCCGGGGAAGACCCAGGACACGCTGGAGGGACTATGTCTCTTGGCTGGCCTGGGAACGCCTCAGCATTCCCCCGGAGAAGCTGGAGGAAGTGTCTGGAGAGAGTGAAGTCTGGGCATCTTTGCTTAGACTGCTGCCCCCGCGACCCGGTCCCGGATAAGCAGAGGATGGATGGTTGGATGGATGGGCCTCTAATCTCCTTTCAGTGCATTTTGGCTGTGTTAACCTTCTCATGTAAAGCAATAAACTTTGGGGGCTAAGAAGTAGGACAGGAAAGGCATTGCACTCAGCAGAGATGCTGGCCTCTAAACATAAGTGTTTGTGACTGAGTATACTCAACAAATTTTAGGCCAACAGATTTACAAGTTTTTGAAGAAGATTTTAATTGCATTTTATGTGCTCGCAGTGTTTTCCACACGGCATTCTACTTGTGTCGGTAGCTAACGGGGGGGGGGGGGCCACACTTTCATAATTTTTTTTCCCAGTAAAATATAGTAAATACTTAAGTATCTGTGTAATGTGTCCGTTTTATATGAGCTCTCCCGCAGCAGCAGCATGTTGCTCTCCTGCATCTCTCTCTTCTTGATCCTCTCTTGTTATTTCAGCAGCACTGGTTGAAACCAATAAATATTCTGAACGAATCAATTGGATGGACACTGGGCAGACTGATCAGCTATCCCACGTGTTTTTTTTTTGATAGTCCCCTGTACTGAGGAGGCAAACATTCATTGTCAGAGTATACATCCATGCTACTGTATATACAGTGCGCTGACCTCGGCAACGTCTGTATTTTAACATTAGCTTAGCTAGCCTTACTAGCTTGCTAATAGTATATTAGAAGAGTTGACAGCGTTGTGTTGAAAAAAACAGAGAGGAGGAGCTGTTCAGACGGTCCATCATCATGGTTGTCGTGTGTGTTAGAGAAACAGAGTGGGGCACGGAGGAACTACACACGGCACTACATTGAAATAAGATTTAACCTATTTGAATTAATATGTAACAGTCAGTGTTGATAATGTACATTGTACTCGCTTTCCAATACGTTTTTATTTAAATGCTGCCTTGGGTATTGTAAATACTAGGTTTGTAAATTTTGGACATTTTTTTCTTAAAAGAAAAAAACATTTCCAGCATCTAGTTTGATGTCTTCCTCTGTATGGTTTTGTAATTTTAGGATGATTGGACAGTTAGTTCAGAAATAGATCCTCTAATGCTGGAAAGGTCTGATGCTTCCATGCTGTGCTTGACAAATAGAAAAGGAATAAAATGTTCCCTTGTCTTTAGGAAACCATGCATGGGACACTTGCAACTCCACAGGTTCAGCCTCACTCTTCTAAAGCTGCACAAGACTGAAGTTTACAAGGGTTTCCACAGCACCAGCCCAAACTTTACCCTGCCACCAAAAATTGCATGTGCGTGTAATGAAAGCTAACTCAGCACAGAGGCCTGTCTCACTGTCTGGTTCCTGTTTGCTGCTATTTGGTTTGCTTTCCCCTTTGGACAAGGTTGGAGCTCTGATGCAATATTTGAGGTCAAGCTCCCTGCGCTCCATGGCCCGTACTGATGTAAACCGACCCCACCCAGGTTTAACCAAATGCAGAATCCATGGAATGGAAAACAAGAGAAAACAGTGAAAGTGTTCAAAATAACCCATATGTGCTAGTGTTGTTAAAATAGTTGAGTGTGTTAATTTTTAACATTTTGGGTTATGGATAGTGTTGTCAGATTGCTGCAGTTCTAGAAGTTCAGAAAAGTCACTTTTTAAATTGGTTTTAATAGTATTTTGTAGTTGATAAATTATGCAATAAATTTATGATGATTGATGAAGCATGTTTTGAGAATGCAAAGATAAAAATCACACTTAGCTGTGACTTCACTCAGACGGGATAGACTCCAGAGGGGGGAGTCTTGTGGTGGTGTGGTCTATCCAACAGGTAATTTTGTTTGGCGTGTGTAGTTCTCTCCTCTATGTGTTTGGCAGGTACAGGTGAGGTCTCAGTAGTTCCGACTCTTTGAAAGTGTGTGTCATTTTAATTCGACAAGGAGAAAGCAGATGCTATTTAAAAAACCTATTGGGTCAGTTTACAAAAAAGAGGAAGTTAAAGACAGTCCTAATCTGTCAATAAAACATTGTCTTGTCTCTGAGGGACAGAAGTTTTTGTATTGCTGATAAAAATCACCATGACATCACTTATCTTCTGAGGAAAGTATTGTTTCATAGGTGTGAAAGTGACAACATTTTAAAGCTCTGTCTTCATTGCAACTTAAAAAGAG